TGTTCGCAGACTGCAGGGCTCCAGCCATTGGTCTTGGCTAGCGCTATGGCCAGGGCATGGGCATAAAGAGGGCAGCTGGCAAGGGCGAAGAGGACTCGAGGCTGGGTGGAGCCTAAACCAGTTACCAGAATAGGGAACTGGCACAAGAAGGAAGAAAATAGTCATCTCGTGTGGGACAGGGGGACCCCCAGGGGCACTCAGGTGCAGGTGCCATGGCTGCAGCCTGGCAGGGAGCAGGAAAGAACCCAGAGATGACCCACGCCTGAGCCCTGCCAGGCGAGAGACAACAGCCTGGAGCTCCAAGAGGTATACTTTCCTGCCCCATGTGGGTGCTTTTGGAGTCATCCTGAGGAGGTGGGAGCAGTAAATAGAGGCAGGCCAGCCTGCCCCAGCTGAGGGACTCCTGCTGGCTTGGTCCTTTCATTCACTCACCTTTGTCAACATCATGATTTTCTCCAAGACCAACCTACAAAGTAATACACTCACCCAGGACAGGTCAGTGGCGAGAACAAAAGATGTATATTTAACTTTCAACTAACCAGAAATAAACGTGGAATAGTAACGATTCATATGTCATATGTTGAGTAACGATAGCCACAAATTTAAAACACACATGAAATGCACTTATCCCACGTAGGACAGTATGCAGGCATGTAACTGGAATTTGGCAAAGTGACTTCACCTCACAAAGCCAGGTGTCCCTTCAGTGGTTAGCTCAGGGCTGCTACCCTGACTCCCAGTGCCCTCAGGGACATAGTTCCTCAAGATTGTTCTGGCCCCCTTCATGTGTGGAGAGCTGCTGAATCACACGCGTCCAGGGGACCCCAGCCACACCACACAAGAATATTTTCCATTTGCTTAGACAGATCTACTCTCCGCTTTGAACATGTCCGGTGCTGTGGGGCTGGGTCCCTTGAGTGCCCTCATCCTCTGACTTCTGGTTGGGTTAGACCATTGGGACTGTCAACACAGCGAGGTTATTAAATCCTAACAGGAACATAGGTCTTATGGGACAGCCCTGCCCCTAGAAATATTTTTTCACTCCCTTCCCTTGCCCCTCAGGACTAGAGGTAGTCACGGCTTCCTGCACCATCTCTGAACCGTATTTCCCTGACGCAGGTTACACCTTTCAAATAGAGCCTTTCTTCAAAGCCTCCAACGCCAGCCCCCGGGGGTGAGCCATCTGTCCTGCAGGAACACAATGGATCTAGTCCCTGTGCTGCCAACATGGCCATATGCACTGGCACTGTGTGGGTCTTGTGCTCTCGGAGCTGCACAGTGGCTTCTCCACCTGTGGGCATCAAGGCTGATTTCAGACAGGAAGAAAAGGTCGATGCACCAAACAGCTTGGTGCCAGGAAAGCTGTCGCTTTCGAGGAAGTCCTGACTGCTACCTGCTTCCTTGCCACCCAGGCAGCCGGACACTGGGGGACTGACCGTTTTTTAACTGGACTCCCTGCTGTCCCAGAGGAAAGAGTGTTTCTATTTGAAGGAAAGCAGCAGAGGTTTTTAAGTAGACGACAGAGGCGGACACGGTTGGCAACATCCTATCACTCACTTGGAGATAAAATAACAAAAAACTTACTGTGCAAATCTTTTTCCTATTTCATACCTTGGGGATTCTTCATGAAATAACAATAAAAAATAACAACGATAATAACAATGTTCACATATTGACCCCTTGCTGAGTGCTTTTACATGCATGATATCTTTTTATTTTTTAATTTATTTATTTATGCACACAAGAGCTGGAGTACAGGCCAGAGGTACAGGGGATGAGAGGCTTCACCAAAGACAGAGTGGGGAGCAAAACAGGCAGATCAACGAAGTACACTGCCTAGGGGGCAGCAGGTGGGTCAGGAGAGGTCTGCTGCACCATGTGGGTCAGCTCCCTGGCGGGGGATCGAACTCGCGCTGCAGTGACTTCGGATAACTTCATACTGCTGTGTTTTTAAACTTTTGTGTCACCAAGAAGGGCCCCAGGCAGGATGTTTTTTAAGTCTCACAAGTGTCCTGTGAGGTTCCCCCTCTTGTAGATGAGGGAGCTGAAGGTGAGGTTCTCAGTAACGCAGGAGTATGAACATCTGCGCTAATTGCACCCAGGTCTGTCTCCACAACCCATGCTGTAACCCCGGCACTTATCAAGCATGCCCCCTGTACCCCATCTCTTTCTGTTCTCTTATTTTCTTCCACAGGGAAGAATCTGTGCATACATGTGAAATCTAGGTCCTATAAAACAAGTCTCTCACCTCTTGAGAACATGACTGCAGGGTAAGTGAATTCATCAAGCTTTTTGCCCACTAGCCTGTGGCTACCACCCCTGGCCAAGATGGCGTCAATGCAGAAGGCGCTTGGGAGCTGCCGTGTGGGGCATGTGTGCCCGAGTCTGGGCACCTGGAGTATGGTGTGGGCATGTGTTAGTGTGCACACCTGAGCTGCTGGCTGGGATGGAAAGGCGGCGTCACGCAGGGCCAGCTACAGGAGGACCTGTGGCTACAGCAAAGGTACAGCCACGAGAAAACAGCAGAGAGAAAGAAAGCACACAAGATTCCCCGGGGGTGAGGGCGCCTCGCCAGCCTCCCAGCCCCCCAGCCTGCCTGCCCTGTGCCTAGGGACCCAACTGCAGAGACCTAGCAAGGCGATCTGCTGTCAGAGACAGTGAGGCATCAAGGAGAAAGTGTATTGAGAACAATGACCAGAGAAATTTGGGTTGACAGGGAAGTTGATATGAACAGCAAGCAGAGTCTATGAAAACAGTGATTATTATTGGCTCCCTCATTGCCCTAGTTGGGTACTTAATTGTCTTCTTGTATTATTATAATATACATTATAAAAAATATATTGTATTATTCTGGATGGAGGCCACTGGAACTAGTCAAATGCCCTGGAATAACTTGGGATGCCTTCCACCACAGCAATGCCTGGGGACATGTCTCCGTGGCAGGCCCACTGCTCCTGATGCCACAAAATTCTGGCAGGGCAGTGGCAAGCGTGGAGCCAGGGGATGGGGATAAGGATGTTATTTCTTGCTCAGGTGGGTGCAGTGGCACTGGGGCGGGAGTCCTTTGAGCATAGTATCCTAATCTGACTCCCCACAGGTGATCACTATATAAAGTGCATCTTTGCCCCAACCAATGATAACCAGCTTGCAACTGTCTCTGTTAGCTCAATCGTTGAAACAGGTTGTGGTTTCGAACAGATTACAACTTGCTGGGAACAAAGAGAAAAGAGGAATAGCATGATGGGCAGCCTGAGAAAATGGCACAGTCGTTGGGTTATGTGGAGGGCTTGAGGTAGGGGTGTGAGAAGGATCACCGCTGGTCAACTCTTCTACTCCCACAGCAATGGAGAGAGATGACCGAGCAAAAAATGCAAGTACTGCGGAGGAATTTAATTTTAGACTTGCAGCTTCATGGTCCAGTGTCTGAAATGTGCTTTGAGTGGGAAATAGTAGGGAAGAGTTGACCGGGAATTCTACCCCCTGTTCCACCACTAACATGCTTTGAAAACTGGAACTTGGATATGCTCCGAGCCTCAGTTTGTCTGCAAAGCAATAACCATAACATCTGCTCCACTTACCTCACAGAAGTGCTGTAAGGAAGAAAAGACCAGCAAGAACAAAAAAGTGAGAAGATGCTTGGGCGCTGTCGTAAACGGAAGTGAATCGGGATACCCCACTCCCCAGGTTCAAGTCTGAAAAGGAACCCATGACATCCTCTGAAGTTGCCCTGCTCCAGACAGTAACCCCCAAACACGTTGGTTATGGGGATGACCAAGAAACTGGACTTTAAGTTTTACTTTGTTTTTAACTGATTTAAATGGGGGAATTGGTAACTCAATTTCAGTTACTGGAAAATTTTAAAGTATGTTTGGAACAACCTGACTATGTGAGTTTACTTTTCAAGCTGTAAGTTTTGTAAAATCACAATGCATGTCAGATGTTGCTGAAGAAATTTACTGTTAGAACTGAGATGTGTTGCTACTGAAAAAGACATACCAGCTTCCAAAGACTTGGTTAAAAAAATTTAAATGTTTGTGAATAATGTTTTACCTTGATTGTGTTGAAATAACACTGTATAGATGTTGGGTTCAATAAAACATATGAGTAAAATTGACCTCTTTGCACTTAACGTGTCTATAGAAAGTTTAAAAATGGCGATGAAACATTGCATTTCTGCTGGACAGCACATTCCCCTAGAAGGAGGCTGTGAGCAGGAGGCATGGCTGTCCTCCACTGGAGCTTGGGAGTGACTTTCACAGAAATCAACTTCAGGATCCCAGGAAAATGCTGGCACCATCTCTGGGTTTCTGAGAACCCCAGACACACAAAGCTGGGTGGAATTGATTCCTTCCTGATTCCTTTCCAAGTGCAGGCACAAAACACCCAACTTGAAACTTGTTGCCCCATTGCCTTGATAGACATGAGACCGAGTTTTGATTTGGGGTCTACAGAACTTTAATGATGGCATTTCAAGAAATGCTCGTGGCCGTGAAGTTATTCTTAAAATCAGTATGAACTGCATTTTCCATTTCTGTTCTTTTCAAAGTTTACGCCAGGGGTAGAAATCAGCCTCCAAGTGTTCTTTTCTACGGTTTTGAATCTTTTCTTTCAGAGCAGTCTTGTTTTCGAAATGATTTACACGCAGACTGCTGGACAAGGATTCCAGAGGAAGCCTGGCCCATCCCAACCAGACTGCCAGGCACATCTGGAAGTCATTTCAGGGCCACCTCCTTCCCTCACTCCCTCCCTCCCTCCGGCCTGCGCACAGCCTGGATTCCCTGCTGCTCACACAGGGTGGGGAGAAACCGGAGCCCTCTAAAGTCGACGCAAACACAAGGGGCTGCGGGGG